TCTATCTATCTATCTATCTATCTATCTATCTATCTATCTATCTATCTATCTATCTATCCATATCTCTTATCTATCTATCTATCTAGAGCCGAGGTGGCGCAGTGGTTAGGGTGCAGTACTGCAGGCCACTTCAGCTGACTGCTATCTGCAGTTCGGCTGTTCAAATCTCACCGGCTCAGGGTTGACTCAGCCTGTGGGGGTGATATGCTGACTCTGTAAACCGCTTAGAGAGGGCTGAAAGCCCTAGGAAGCGGTATATAAGTCTAACTGCTATTGCTATTGCTATCATAGCTTATTATATACTTAACCAACCAAGGAAACACACCAATCTCCGGACATTTGGAGAAGCAAAGAAGCAGGGGTGAAATCCAGCAGGTTCTGGAGAACCGGTAGCGGAGATTTTGAGTAGTTCAGAGAATTGATAAATACCACCTCTGGCTGGACCCAGGGTGGGGAGGGAATGGGGATTTTGCAATATTCTTCCCCTGCCACACCCACAGAACCAGTAGTAAAAAAAAATTGAATTTCACCACTTCAAGGAAGTGTTGGATTAAGACAAAGATATGGTTGGAAAAGATGATAAAACAACATATTGAGCTCAAACCAGAAATATCTTTTGTTGGGGATATTATCTGAAACTTATAATAAACAGAATACATATTTAATTATTCATATAGTAACCGCAGCTAGAATTGTATCTGCACAATATTGGAAAAGTTAAGAGATTCCTAGAAAAATATTAGAATGTGCAGAAATGAATAGCCTAACATTGGCAATTAAGGAGAAAGAACCGTCTGATTATATGATATGATAGGGGAGGTGTTTTACCAATGGCTAGAGAACAAAAAAGGAAACTTGAAATAAAAGAATGGAAAATGTATTATGACAGAGATAAGAATAAAATGATAACTGTTAGCATTAGTATGATGGAAATAATTATAATGAATGTTATTATTGTACATGTATTAGAAGATATGTCAAGAAGGAAATGAAGATATTTATAAGGTTTAACTGCATAATGTATTATATAATCTATGGAAGAATGTCGCACAGAAATATTTGTGTCCGGACGACGCACTGCTTAAGGAAAGATGGAATGTATGTATTTTTAAATTGAAAAAGAAATTTTTTTTTAAAAACGCATCAATCTCTCAGCAGAAGTTTTCAGAGGTGGCCCGGCTGCCCTCAAGGCCAAGAGCTCTTCATTCCCCTGGTACTTTCTTGAATTGCTTCATTCCCTTTTTGGATACTACTTTTAATTTAGGATCGGGGAGGCCCTACATCTCCCATCACCCATCTTTGCTTCCTTTCCTCGTTGTGTTTTTTAGGATGTATGGGGAGCTTTGCTCCACTTATGAAAGCGCCTCGCTTCGGATGTTCCGTCTCGGACGGACGGACACCATCCGCTCGGCCTCCATGGACGTGCTTAAGTTCGTACAGTCCATGAGTGATGAAAAGATCCAGGTAGGCCACTTGGAATCCGTGTTTTCCCCATGACCATCATCCTCTCTTAATGACCCCATAATCCCCTGCAGACAGATCTTCACACTCCTGAAATGAATCTAACGAACGAAGGAACAAATTGTCTCCTGCAAACTCCACTCCCCTATCGCTCCTCTTTTATTCCCTCTGGGAGGGGCCATTCACCGTCCACCTGTGGCCTTACTCCCAAGTCCGCCCCTGTTCTTTCGCTCTTCCCTTCTCCTGGCCACTCTGCGCATGCGCACACTGGGAACAGGCTCCAGCTGTTCCTCTGCCTCACTGATGACCGACTCCGAAGGCAGCTTATAACTGTCAGTCGGCCCTTTCCCCCTCTCTGCCTCCGACACAGAGCCCCCCCTAGACTCCAGGACTGGCCCAGGTTCCTCCCCAACCTCCTCACTGGCCGAATTGGTTGCCAGCTCGACTGGCCACTGGCATGGGCCACAACAAAAGCAAAAATGTTCTTTAACCAAATTTATCAGACGGGGAAAAGGTAGGGATGAGCCCCTTGCTAACCATCCATTGACACACTGGAGAAATAGCTACCTGTTTTCCAGAGAAAAGAAGACAATAGGAAGATGTCCTGTACTTGTAACATTTTGCAAATCTCCGCCATCTTTCTAAGTCTCTTATGGGTTGTGTTTCGCAACTGTTTCTTCCTTAGGGACAGGAGAAGGCAGAACTGTTGAGAAGAGCCACCCAAACACATCGAAGCTATACTGACATGGTGGGTGTTATTATTTTACATTACAGATTAGAATTGCCAGTACCAGATTTTTTCAGAGTATAAGATGCTCTGAAGTGTAAGATGCACGTAGCTTTTGAAGGGGAAAAGAAGAAGAGAAATCCGCCTCCCAGCAATTTGCCTCCTTGCAGCAAACAGCAAACGGCCCGTTTCAGTTGGAGCACAGCCTGATTAGCAGAAGCAGCTGATTGCCGGTTGGATCCGCCTCCCGACCGTCAGCTGTTTCAGGCTGCAGGGATCGCCATAGCCCGGTGATGGCTAACTTTTTCCCATTGCAGGCCAAAAGCAGGGATAGCGCGGGGGTGGGGTGGGGGGTAGCACGGGCGTCCCCACACCCATAATGCTATGTTCCCTGCATGTTCTTCTCTCTCTTTCCCGTAGGCCATTAGAGGAAACGCAATTGATCGTCACCTGTTGGGCCTGAAGCTGCAAGCGATCGAGGATCTGGTGAGCATTCCCGAACTCTTCATGGACACCGCCTACGCCGTGGCCATGCACTTCAACCTCTCCACCAGCCAGGTGAGCTGTGGATCATGGTCTTGGGGGTTATTTCTTTCCTTGTTGATTTATTGGGCGACTGTGCACTGCCTCCAAGCCCTCTCTTGTGTTCCCTTTTCTCCCGAGGGTTTCTGTTGTGGTTGAGGGATGGTTCAGAACAATTTGCAGAGTCTTCGGCTTATGAGCATAACAGAGCTTTCCCCTCCGGGTTTAAGTGGCGATGGTTGCAAATGGGGTCCCCAGTTTGAGCGGGTGGGAGAAAAGCCAGAATGGGGGAAGGCCCCCCCCCCCCCCCCCGTTTAAATCCACCCACCCATCCATGTTTGTTTAATTTATTTGTATCCTGCCTTTATTATTTTTACAAATAACTCGAGGCAGCAAACATACCCAACTCAACACGGTGTCCTCCTATTTTCCCACTACAACAACCCTGTAGGTTGGGCTGAGAGAGAGGGGTTGACCCAAAGTCACCCAGCCAGTTTTCATGCCTAAAGCAGGACTAGAACTCACCGTCTCCTGGTGATTGGCCCTGTTACCCACCGGGCTTTCATGCCTAAGGCGGGACTAGAACTCCCCGTCTCCCGGTTCCTAGCCCGGTGCCTTAACCACTAGGCCAGAATGTCCTCTCCTCCCTGCAGGTGCCTGCCAAGACAGACTGTGTGATGTGCTTCGGCCCGGTGGTGCCGGACGGCTACGGCATTTGCTACAACCCCATGGAGGATCACATCAATATCGCCGTCTCGGCCCTCAACAGCTGCAGCGAAACCAACGCCGCTCGGATGGCCCATTACCTGAAGGAGGCCCTGCTGGACATGCAGCTCTTGCTCCAGTCCAACCCCAGGTCCAAACTCTAAGAGGGGCGGACGGCCTCTTCAGATGACTGACCTCTGGGGGGGCTTCATCCACACCCTGGACTGCCCCCCTCCTCCCCCCCGACGGACGGCTTTCCCCGGTTGCGCCAACTTAGTGGGATGGAAATGAACTCCCAACAGCGCCCGACAGTGGAGATCCCTGCCGCCTCGCCCGTCTTCCTCCCCCTGCTCTCCTTTCCTCCGTCCGCATCAGTCTGTGCCTTAGAGAGGTTTTGCTGGGAGAATTGGGGGGGGGGGGGGAGGCTTCTGAATGGAGGGGAATCCGGACCTTCCTTGGTTGGATGCTGGGTAGAAAGAGAAGGTCTTGGCTCAAAGCCTCCTCAGAAGGTCGGTCCGAGATTTTGCACAATGCTTGTTGTTCTCTGTGAATATAGAAGTCTGTTTCACATCAGCCTGACGGTTTCCATGGTGGAGCCGTTTTATTGTTTGATGCTAAAGGTTGCTTCTCGTTTATCCTATTCCTTCTTTCCCCTTCTCCATCATTCCTATCTGTCCTCCTTCTTTCTTCTCCTCCTCCTTCTTCATCATCTCCTTGTCCACCTCTTATCTCCTACCTCTTCTCCTCCGTCTCTTCCTCCTCCCCATTTCCTTGTCTTCTTCCTTCCCCATCTCCTTCCCCTTATCTTCCATCACCTCTTTTTCCTCCATCTGTTTCTCCTCTTCCGTTTTGCCTTTTTGTTGAGTTGCTCAGTCCTTATCATCGTGCAATTTTGGCCTCCTACAAGTCCTAGTTAACCCATCCACCTGGCTGGGTTACCTGGACCAAGGGCCGGTTCTTGGCTCTTACAAAATTGGCTCAGAGCATTGTCCTGCTCACGTTGACAGAGAGGAGGAGTATTTGAAAATGCCAACATTTTCTAGGATTTTCTGTGCCGATAAGATGTTATTTCATTAAATAATAAGCCTTTTTTTAAAATGTATTTGTTGGGAGATTAGCTCTACATTTCTACTAGGTTTTTTTTTAGCTTCCTTCGCTGGTTCCTGGCTACCCAGATATTTATTTTAAGTCACCCTCATTAGCCCCCAGGAAACAGATTTTTATAGATATCTGCACATTTTTTGTACACTGGCATCTATCTGTCCACACAACCACCTTAATGACGACAAAGGTTTTTAGCAGCTACAATTTACACAGCCAAGGATAAGGGGGTCTTGACTGAACTGTCCTTCCACATTGGTTTAATTTGGCGGATTGTGTGAACCCGGAAAGCTGGTTATTTCAAAAAGACGGTTAAACTGGTAGCATGAATGCAACCATTTGATATAGCCCCCCCCCCCCCAAAAAAAATGTGCATTTCAGGATGTGGAGTAAGACCCACAGTTGTGGCACGACTAAAAGCCAATTTGGGGGTCCATTACAATAAAATTTGTGCCCACATTTTGAATAAAATGTTTTATGTTTCTAGAATGGAGAGAAACCAAGATACAGCTCTTTCTTTTTCTTTCCTTTTTTTTCTCTTTCTCTTTCTTCCTTTCCTTTCTTTTCCTTCCATTTCTCTCATCTTTCCTTCCGCTTCCTCTTTCCTGCTGTTTTACCATCAGAGCTCCATGGCTAACCTGTTGTAGGAGGATTCATATAGTGCCAAATTAGATTTGGGTGATGGCTCCCTTCCAGAAATTCTCCCCATAGGTAGCATTTGCCATCACGTTCATGAGATCTGGTGACTTGATGAAAGCGCATAAAACCGAAACCCTTTTGTCACAGAAGTGCCTTATACCGCCCGCTCCTAGGGATAAAACGTAAAGTGATTTGCAAGTTATTATCTTGTAAGTCGCTATTTCAGCTTTAAAGTTTTTAACAATTCTGCTGTACATTTAAATGCAAATGCGGTGGGTAACTTTACAAATAGCTTTTAGAGCTGCGTTTCCCACCCATAGCAACTTTTAAGACAGGTGGACTTCAACTCCCAGAATTCACTAGGCAGCACAGAATTCTGGGAGTTGAAGTCCACATTTCCAAGTTGCCACGGCTGAGAAACACTGGCTTGGGACATTCTATGGCTATTTTAAAGCACTGCTTAAGAACGTTTTATATATATATATATAATAAGTATATAAAGCTAAGGAGAGTTAAGAGACAGGCCACGGACAGTCCACATTTCAAACCACGCATGGCCCCAGCACCTTCATTCGTGCCACATTCGTACAAGACGCAAACTTTGCCAAGTTCAGCCTCCGTATTTACAACCGTTCCTGTTGTGTGAATTCAACCTGTTGGGGGTTTTTTTCTTCTTCTTTGCCTCTCAGTTTGCAGGCACAGATGGTGGGTTAATTCGAATTGGTCCACCACCTTAAATATGGGAATTCCCAGGAGTTCCAAATATCGCACTAGCTGAGAATTCTGGGAATTAAAAAAGAAAAAACCCTCCCAAAATATCTATGTTAAGTTGGTCAAGAGGTCTCAAGGTTCTTAGAACAGCCAAAATGTTGCCTATCCTAATATTTTTCTAACCCACCGGACAGATATTTTTTGCACTGTTTTAGGGAGCGTTGCCGAATTCCTGCTGTTTGTTTTTCCTGAACTTTGGCCCCCGTGATTGTGAGATTGGAGGGTAAATAAATTGTATTACACAGATTGTTTTGTGTAAGTTGCCTTGCTCTGAGACGCAGAGGCCCTCAGCTGTATATAAATACCAACACACCCCCATTAAAGGGCGAGAAAAGAACCCCGCTTAAAGACCTTCCTTTCCCGAGGGAAATGTAGAAGCAGTCCTCGGACTTGCGACATCACCGAGCCTCGAATTTCTGTTGTTCAGCGAGACATTTGCTGAGTGGGTTGTGCCCCGTTTTACGACCTTTCTTGCCAGGTTTGTTAATCGAATCAGAATAAACAAGTGAACTGATAAAATTAGTAAGCCGGTTGTTAAGCGAATCTTGCTCCCCTCCCCCCCCCGTTAATTTCGCTTGTCCTGACGGTCGCAAAAAGGGATCACATAACCCAGGGGCACAGCAACAGTCATAAGTATAAACCAGTTGCCAAGCGTCTGAATTTGGATCACGGTTGTGGGAAGGCAGCAAAAGGTTGCAACTGAAAAATGGTTGGCAGTCCCTCCCCCCCCCAGTGCCGTTGTAACTTTGAGCGGTCACTAAATGGGACTGTTGCAAGTCAAGGACTGGTTGTGCTGTTCATGTCTTCTCTTGTTGGGAAAAAAAAAGTCATTTGTGCTAAATGGGGGGAGAAAAAGAGTTCTGTAAATAGATGGAAACTAACGAAGGAGAGAAGCAACCTACAGCCAAGAAGAAAGTTCCTGACGGTGAGAACAATGAGCCGGTGGAACAACTGGCCACCAGAGGTTGTGCATTTCTCCCACACTGGGAGTTTTAAAAGAAGAGATTGGACATCCACCCGGCCTCGTCAGCTGGAGGAAGCAAGACTTTTTCCAAGCAGGAGACCATAAAAACACGTTTATTGAGTATTTAAAATTTTTGAAGGGGTGGCGGAGGGAATCTTTTATAAACCAGCCCACCACCCCTTCCCTCCTAATCCCCTTGAACTACAAGCCCCATCGCTCGCCACCGAATGCGGGGAGCTTTCCGTTTCTGGGCCCTTCCTAAAAAAAACAAAACGGCAAGAGCCGATTTTGGGGTGAAAAATCTGGATGGGGGGGGGGG